AAGTCTCTTTGTTTTTAAGTCGATATATTTAAGGGTTTGCGTTTTAACACGTTTAAAAATATGGATGCTAACTTTCGAGGAGATTTACTTGTATTTGTTATCTCAGGATACTAATATTTTTCTCAGTATAAATAATTTCGTATAAACATTAAAAAATCACCACTTTTCATTACGGTAAAGTGACTTATGCCATTTTCAAAATAAACGGCTCATTTAGTACTGTCTGTTGCTCAGAAGAAGTCAACTGAGAAAAGTGCAGGACCGATTTCCATCAATCCACCCTCGCAGAGTAAACGCGTCTCCCTTATTGGCAGAAATGATCTCTTCCTATTGCTTCCAAATTAACCGCCATACTGAATTTCCAGGAAACAAGGGACTCGACTTCGGCCGATTAAAAACGAACAACGCCTCCTGGCTTCCGTCACGTCTCGCTTCCCCGTGGACGCTATTTTCAGCTAGGAACACGTCGGACACGTGTTCCTGTCCTTTTTGTGGGTGTGTGTGTGTGTACATATTATTTACGCGACTACGGGCGCGCGTGACACGCGATGGGTGTCAGGAGACGCAGAACAATCGAGATAAAGTGAAACAGACGCAGCAATTACAAGATGCAAGAGCGTTGACTTATCCCTAAAGCATTAACTTCAGATTTTTCTGATGAACACATGATTATTTGTAATTACTAATTTCTAATTAGCATCTTGAATAACTTTCCATCGCATTGTACAGCAAACGTGCTGTACTATACACATATTTTTTATATTTATGTTGTAATATACGACTTTTTTAAACAGTTATCATACACGTCTTAGATATGCATTCAATATTTATGAAATTAATAAGTGAAAATAATCATGTTTTGCTCATAAAGTATTGCTCTCATGTTCGCAGGCCTGCAATGTATTCTTCGAGTATAGGAATTTTACGCATATCTTACGCCTACGTTAACGTACGACGTTAAGAACCTAAATGTAATATCGGGAAACGATTAAATAATGCACTACGCATAAATTAAATGACGCAAGGGACAAGGGGCAAGGGGGATCGGACATCCGCTTATTGGCTAATTTACGCGCTGAACAAGAAACGTGATTAGGTGGAACGGACGACCAATCCCTATTGCTCCTCGCGTCGATTAGCTGTGGGTCTTCTCATTTACGAATAAAAATGGATTTCGAGAGGAATACCGCTCTTGTGCCCCTCTGCCGAAACGATGGACTTCTTCTATATAAAGGACAATAAACGGAATGATTCCATCGTTCTTAATGTTTGTGAATACTATCTTGGACGAAGACACCTGCGGTAGAAGAATAAACGACAACTAAATTCTTTACAAAGATGAACAAACTATAAGTCGATCTTCTCGAAAACGGAGCCTCGAATAAAAAATGTTATATCAAATTTGTTTCTTATTTTTTCATATTAGAATCACCCTTTGCTCGGTTGTATTATGAATTTCGGTCCACCTTGTATATAATTTCATTTCAGCAAAACCTCTAGAACGCAATCACCCTTATAAACACAAAAATATTATACGTGTTATCAGTTACCAATATTTTTAAATTTATTAAAACTAAAAATCTTTAAATATTTGGATTTTAAAATAAATGACTTAGGTTACTTTCAAAATAAATGGTCCATTTAATTGCAGAGAAAAAGGAAGGAAGTACTCACCTCGATTACAGAGTTCACAAAGTTGCTAAACCCTTCTAGACCATTGACCAGTGCTCTACCGATTCCGATAAACCTGTCACCAGTATTGCCATATTTCTCGTGTTCCTTGATATTATCGACCAACGCTTTGGGTCTGAAGATGGCTTCCAACATTCCCATAAACGGCTTGGTGATTGGTCTTTCGAGAATACCTTGCCCACCGTCAGTATACAAAGTCACAGTGTCTGGCGAGTTCGATTTAGTCTCGATCACTGGAGGATTCGTGATCGAATTCAGAGATCTTCGAGTATCGTTCAAAGCGTTCGATTTGGTAGCGAGTATAGTCGTCAACTGATTTTGCGACTCGCTGACTAATGTCTGATCGGACAAGAGAGATGCTACGTTGTAATACGATTCGAGAATCGTTCGGTAATGTTATAAATTTTATTATTTTAAACTGTTAGAGCTGAGATTCATTCCCAGCATGACTTTTTAGACACAGTTTATTAGTCATTAAGTAGAGACAGTTATGTTAAATAAAAATATACAAAAAAATAGAACATAATTTAAAAAACAATATTAAGATTCTTTAAGGGTTTCTACGATTTGTTGTTCACTCCAAGGGATTTTAAGGTCCTCAGAAGAGATTCCTCCAGAAAACCATGGGATCTCTTGGAGAACTTTTTTGAGGGGATTATGGAGTTCCTAGGGGACTCTACGGTTCATTTTAGTTTCATCAAATTCATGAATTTGCGCAAGAAGCTCTGTCATTGCTAGAAGTACTTGGGATCTGCTTAGTTAGACCTTAAACTTTAGGCTGCCTGAAGTCCTTCAAAGGCTTACAAGACGGTGCTGTAAATTCTCGTTGAAGCTGCGTGTTATAATGTTGCGTTAGTATCACAGAATGTATGTTTTATGTAAATATTTCGATCGTTTCGGGTGAACGGCCGTGCCGGTACACTTGGTTTTTCGAGCGTACAGGTAAACCGATCCCAGCGTTAATATGCAACAGGTTTAATTTTTATTCTGCATTGCCACATGCACTGGTAAAAAGGATCAGCCTTGTAACAGATTATTATGAAACACGGTCGGAGGGTCGTTCAGCACGTCCAATGGACTTCTGATTTCTTTTCATAATTAATTAGTCGGTCGAAGCAGAAAGAAGTGTTAGATAAAAAAAAAACGTGTGTCGGTTTAGTGCGCCAATTACCTCCGCCCGATCGAATAGGATGTTTCTCGCCAACGTGAGTGAATTGACAAACCTTCCCGCGCCGATTCGTATCGCATCGGCTGCACGACCTAACCACTCCTACAAAAACCGAAATGTAATTCTCACGCGAGCCAATTTCGTTATGAATCCAATGTTTCCGATGGTCCTCTTCCTACTCAATCTTTTTTCCCTTCGATTCAATTTGTTTGCAGCTTTTAAACTTGGATTCCTAAGGAAACTCTAGGACTTCTGCTACCAAACATGATCACTAGACTGCGGATTTTATGCATTCGTGATAAGAATGAATGGATGAAATACGAATCTTAGAAGGATTTCAGAATATAGTAAAACTTCGATTATCCGGCCCCATAGTGTTTGAATCCTCAATTATTTAAACATGTTTCACACATCTAAACAACTCATTCTGAGGCGCCTGATACGTAAAACGATTTACAGTATATAAGTCAATGACGTTTAAGTCAGGCACTGTAATTAAATAAACTAGGCTTTCAGCCGATCTTTCATGTTATTCTACCTAGCTTAAATAATTGAGGTTTTGGTGTATTGTTATACTATTTTCAACTTATTAAAATTATTAAAAGAAGAAACCTTTTGTTCATTTTGTTCATTTCCCTTTGGTGGATTTTGCTTTGATCTCTGTTTCTTACAATGGAGTGAACAATGCATATTATTTTTCCTCAAAGGATCCACAATCTAGTAATCATCTGCTACACAGATGTCGAAAGTCACTCACTCGTCCTTGATCCAGTTGCGACGTCGCCTTAGAAGGACTATCCGTGGTCGTTGTTACATCACGGGTATTCAACGAAAATTTGGTAGGTTGCCTCGCGGGTGAACCGATCGATAGATCGAAACAGCAGAACAAGATGACCGCGCTTATCCTTAAAATGTACCTCACTCTCCTTGTATTCTTCATTTTATCGATCCCCGTGTTCAAACTTCTTGCTACCAATTGAAATTCAGACATTCTTTGTAAACAATTGTTTTGTTATCAGTCATAATTTATTTTAAATTGTGACAGTCACTACTGTTACATTTGTGCATGTATTTGCGAGGGAGATTGAATTACTTCTGTACTGTGACAGTCACGATTCCATTTTTAAACTATGTGTTTGCAAAAAAACACTGACTCACCTTTTTTTGAATGGTTTTATCACAGCACTGACAGCGTGCAAATGAAAATGCGAAGATGCTCTACGTTTCGCAGTCAATTCACGACTAACAGATTTCATTCTGCCCCGCTACAATCTCGCCAAGCGAACTTACGACACGCTGTTACTTTCTCTTTCGATTTACTTCTCGATGTTAGTAATACCACGCACGAGACCGGCGAGACTCGCTTCGATAGTTACGTGCTTCCTCGGAAGTCCGTTCGCGATCGCAAATGTCATGAATTATTAGGAAACAGTTCCGTGAATTTGTCCGGCAAAAGTAGATTTTAGTTTTGAAAAATTCGCTCTTGAGAAACAACCAAAACGCACGACTTTTCACTTTCAAGTTGCCGTGCCGGTTCCGCTATCGCTACGTGTGACAAGTTCGGTGCTTACGGTCATTAATTTATTTCTCGATATTATGGGCCGTTGCATCATTAATGTGTGAATATTTCAAGCATTCTTTCAATGGTATAACCAATGATTTCATGGTTTGGAGTAACATCGTGTATTTGATTTGAATCTATATGAGGATATATGGAAATAGTCGCAAGGGGCTGTAAAAGTTTACGCAATTTGTTGTAGATTCCTTGCGGTATACGTGGGCTAGTTATTTAATTAACTTTCATGAACGCACGTGTTCCTGCGCATGTCGTGAATACATAAAGGTCCTCGATCTAATGATTGCGGCGAACTGCAGAATTTTATAGAAATTCACGCTTTCCTAAAGATGTTTAAGTTGAATGAAAATCAAATTTTGACTCTTTTAAGTGATAAAACTTTGAATACGTGACGGACAAAACGAAAGTGTGAAAAAATAATTTCGCAGTTAATGATAAGCAATAATAATCGTACACAATTAAAATGTAGTACATTACCTTATATCGTCTGTTTTTATCTTTATAGCTCATAATTGTCCAAAGTGCTTTTTACCTATTAAAGCAGGTGTCCATCTGCGAGTTTCTCGCGCGAGTTGCTATAGCGAGCGCTCGCAAGTTCTGTATCCATTTGAGAACTGCTTCGGCAGCTTTTATTTTCAGGAGCTACGAAAACTCTCGCCACAGATGACTACTGGGGAGAACTCTTAGAACCGTAGCCATTTGCGAATCGTTTCATGGCCATTTTCTCTGTTCGTCGCGTTGATTTCGAACTAGGAAACGCCGGCGAGCGATACACACTGATGTACGCAGATTTTGATGAAACTTCGTTAAAGAAGTCATTTTTACATTTACAGTAAATTTTCCCTAATTGTCCCTCAATTAGTAAACAAGAATGGACAATTTAGGAAGATGAGATACGATTACTAGATCCTCGCGGCTCGTTTTAATAGTTGTTGACAATTGGTGGCTATAGAAACGAGTCGCGAGGCTTGAATAATCGTACCTCCTTTTCCCAAATTGTCCATTTTGCTTTACAAGCTGAGGGACAATTGGAGAGAATTTACTGTATATGGAAATATGGAAATATCTCAAAAGTATGGGTGATACGAAAAATGTTTTAACACGTTGAACGCCACGTCACCCATATCTGGGTGACGGCTATGTTTTCGCAGTCTTATACTAACAAATTATACTTATATTTAAATTTGTTTTTAAAATATAATGTTTTATTAGTTACGATGGAATTCGTTAAAACATTGTAAACATAATTGGGGTGACTCTAGACACTCAGGACAATACGTTATAATGTTTTGTAAATCCTTTTTTGCATCGTGGCGCCGGGAAAAGCTCTACCGATTCACGCTGGGCGTTTAACGTGTTGAAACGAATGTTATAGGGTATCTATGATCAGATTTGATGCAAATTTATATATGCTATTCAACAAAACTATTTGTTTTTACTTTTTTAAGTTTTATCGTGTATAGTGTTCCATAATTATGTTAACAGCCGAAAATGGGGGGAAAACCAATGAGAGGCGAACGCGCGAACTGCGACATGGTCGAGCCAGCGAGCGGAACCCTGCTTCGCTCCGCGGTGCGACGGAAGGAGGGGGCTACGCACAGGCTCCGTGCCGTGTTCGAAGCAATGAACAAGTCACGGAGTGTGAATTTTCCGAATTTCTTTTACTTTGTAGCGTTTTTTTTACGAGAAACGCCAAGTAGTTTAACCGCTAATTTATTGTCAAATTGTTGTTAATTACTTCTTAATTAGTTATCATTTAATTTTCATCAGCTGTAAATGTATTGTTATTGGTGATAAATTGCTGTTAAAACATCGTTATTTAGCTATTGTATTCAATAGTTACATTTTCATTCATTTTCTGTAGAACATGAATTTTATTATTTAGTCTATGTATAAGTAATAAGACTACATATAGTCGGTCAAATTAATATGAAATGGAATAATTTGATTAGAACTTGATTAAACGGACTTGAATTTGCTTAGATGACCTAACAAAATGTAAAAAGACCAGCCGCAAGGCTCGAATAATCGTATCTCCTCTTCCCAAATTGTTCATTCTTGTTTCCAAGCTGAGCGTTAATTAAGAAGAATTTACTGTACTCTCCAAATTCGAGCCAACATCATATTCTGAGAGTAGCTCTTCAATAGCGTATCCAGCTGTGATATTCGCCGACAATCACTATCAAGACAGTGTCCATTTGCGAGAAGTGCTCTCGAGAACAACTCGCGACAGTTTTACTCTCAGATGGACACCCGCCTGTACTGTTTAACGAAAAATTAGAGACACGAAATTATTTACCAAGACATTGTGAATAATGAATTACAATGATGAAATGTGAGAAAGAAGAATCGAGAAGACCGAAAAATATTTATGGATGATTTTTATTCATTTCATATAGTTGTCATTTGCGTTTAATTGATTACGTTATTAAACGTTCGTATTACATATTATGTTATAGCCTTAACTCCAACTACCAACACTGAGTTAATTGTCGAGAAAACATATTTGATTACAGTGAAACTCGTGCTGAACGCAACCTGAAACAAGATAGAAATATTATGTAGAATATAGTAGTAACAAATAGATTGTGGATCTTAATGCAAAATAAAAATTTTTTGCAACAATTCCATGGTAGTCAAGTGGAAATGTTTATCTTTCTTTAAATTCTAATCTCTACCGGTTTAAATTTCTGCAATTCAAATTTATTACATCTGTGTAACAAAATTTGTGTAATTAACAATGAATGCACAATTGATAGAAAAATTGAGTTTATCTTGATGTATGATGTAAAAGTTGAACATTAAGAAGGAACAGAGAACAAACTGTTGTTCTCCAAGCTTGCAGTTGTGAGCTGCAGAGGGTTCTGTTATATTTATTCATTTCGTTATGTTAGTTAAGTATGTTAACATTATACTTACACCTACGGGGAAAGGAATAACAAATGAGGCAACGTATTGTATCCATGAAATTATTTCACGAGTTACTACCTCCAACCTCTTCGTGTTAGACAAAATAGGTTTGACAGTTGACCAAATTATTTTGCCGATAGGATTGTCAAGCACTGTATCAATTAAATCTTGAGAGTTTTTAATGCCTGATACCCCCAAAACTTCTGCGGCTATTTTAATCACGCGATTAATTATCACGGTCACTACCAATGGTGGACCTAAGATCCATGGAAAACAACAGTTAACATTAGGACAAATTAATTGTTTTCACAATAAGTCATGAAGTCTAGACAGTTGTTACAGTTTCCTGCATTAATAACATAAAAATTGCTCGTTCAGAAAAATAATATAAATTGCTTCAGAAGAGATTAACATTTTTGTTTTAGAAAGCTATACATACCCGAGTCGTGTTTTTTAGCTACGTCCTTTCCGGAATCTTTCTCGTGAGAGTCATTGCTTGCTAAAAGAACAGAAATTATAAGCGCCACTTTTCAAGGTCACTTTTCGTTCGCACGACTCTCTAGGTCATTTTTTGTTTGCGTAACTTTTAATATAGTTAAATCCAATTAAGTTTTATAATTGTTTTTAATTTTCCATTAAAATTTTTAGTGCGTTCTTATAGAGGAATAAACATACTTTCTTAGATAATTGCAACTTGATTTATATTTAATGAATCTATAAAGTCCAATCACTACAATCTCATCAAACGTCGACGGAAATTTTTAATATACTGATTGACATGCAGTAATAAACTGAAAAATATCGGATGAATTGATTCAATGCTTCCAGTAGTTCTAGCGTTAATCCTAACTAACAGATTGCAGGTTTCTATGCAGATTCACATCAGAACAAGGATGCATGATTTGAATAACTCGGAAAAGTCCTATTCAAGCTTTAAATGCATAAAAATCCACAGCCCAGTGACTATGCTACAAACCAGGTTTATTGGGCTATTACCTGATGTGTCCTCCTTCGCAGGCTTGGTTGAACTCTCCTAAAATGATCAAAATGAATCACCAACTTTCAGAAGCTCTACCATTCAGCGAATCAAAACTATCGCGGTTCACTTTGGAAAAGTCTGCGGTTTCTCGTAATTTCCTGTCGAATTGTTACTTACTGGTATATTGTCTGGTCTGGCCAGAGCCACTGCGCAATAACCCAACAGCAAAAGTATTACGAACTTCATTTTGACGCTTGCAATGTAAACAATGGCCACCCACTAAGCAACGTTCACTTCTCGAGACCTCGCGTTTCTGTATTTTGCAAGCTCGTTTCGGTTTATATAGGTGAAGAACGATGCCAGCGATATTCCGTTTATAATAAATGTTATGATAAGTTTGCTTACTAGTATGCAATTACACATGTTCACCACCGCCTCTCCTTGACTCTGACTATAATTTGAATACGTCACGGATATGTGTCATGTTACGCAAATGTTAACGAGCTTCGACACTGGTCCGGGGGTGTAGCGACTGATTATTCGTTGATAAGGGTGATTTCATTTTCTATTCCGTCACACTTCCTTCATTTCTAATCGTCCGAGGACCATTATCGTCGAAAGTTATTCGACAAAAGTCGTATATGACAGGCTTTTCTAATCGTCCTATTTGAATTTGTGGCCGCACATTTTTTAGTGCGGCGGGCTTGGTCGGTTTAATAACGTATTGATTAATAGTGCAAGCAAGAAACTTTCTTGAGCCTTTGTTTATGGTATAGACGAATTAATTGCAAATATGAGAAATATTTGAACTAAGATCATATCAATAAAATCTCTATTCGTTTTAAAGCTTGGAGAGACCATATTTTAAAACTTTGACGGAGGTTTTAAAGTCAGATAATTTATTGACATACCTGAAAAAGTATACAAAACATGTTCTACAATTACTAGCTTCCATTACCACAAAGCCATGCGGAATTCACACGTGGAACGCAAAAAGTTTCAAGTTCACGCGCTATTGGCGGTCATCCGGAATTGTTGTTCAGTAATCGGTTGACTGCATTTAGCGTCGATACTGGTATCTGGAAAACGTAACAACGGTGGTAATTATTACTACAGTGATAACTTTGAATGGTACTATATTAAAATTCCTCTCTTCGAGTCTGATAATTCGCCACACATTTTCATTCTTATTTTAAAATGAAAATAGTTCCTTGTTCGACTGCAACCTTTGTACATCCGCAGCTTATCCAATAATGGTTTTAACATGGTACAAAATTTTCCGAAATTCTGTCAAACTTGTAAAACGTTCGTTCTTTTTAGAACGGTTAAGCTACAGTACTTCGCAGTTTATAGAGGCTTTGTAAGTTCAAAATTATACTTGAACGCTATCTTGAAGATGCAATCAATAATGAATAATATTTTGTTCTAATCAATGGTTTTGAGAAGTTTTTTGGTCTCTTTAGATTCTTTGGGTTTTATGCAATGATAATTACACATCTGTTTTACTATTGTCACAGAGAATCCATACGTGATCAGTCTAAGGTTATGTTAGTTCATCTTGTAATCGAATTAATTCATTCTAGTTCCCCTAATTGAACCACAAGAATCTGCGTCTGAACAAAGATTCGCGGTCACCCTATAATCAAATGGGAAATTTACATTAAAAACATCATCGTAGAATCCATTATCTTCATTCTGGTCTTTCTCTTTCTGCCTCCCGCCCGAGGAGTGCGTGCTGATTACAGAACCTTGAGCCTGTCTACGGGAAATGTTTGCAGAATGTGCACCAGTGGGTTCTTGAGCAGCCTCTACCGGAACACTAGTGTAGATAACTTGTTTTCTAGGTCCCCATAGCCTTTTTCTGTGGAGTCGTTTCGGATGTAGAACTGTCACTTCCTTGGTTAGAACTGGAAAAGGAGCATTCAATTAGAAACTGCAAATTTTCTTTTTGCTAGTAATTGGTTGTCTTACTAGTTGGAATAACGTCGTTGAATTGGCCTGGTAGGGGAGGTATTTTAGGAACTGGTTCGATGGTTACGATTTTGTTGACTGTCTTCACCCTTTCTAGCTGAGATACGACAGGTGCTGGCGGTGCTGGTGGTGCTGGTGGTGCTGGTGGTGCTGATGCAGCTGCATCTGCTTGTGCAGTTGCAGATGCACTGACGGGTGCTGTGTTTGTTGTATTTGAGTTTCGTACCTGGCAATCATATTCGTAGATTATTGATCGTTGACCTGTTGTTAATCTTTATATATTGAATCTAATTTAGAATTTACAATCAGATAGTAGAATTATTATACAGTAAATTCTCTCCAATTGTCCCTCAGTTTGTAAATACAAATCGACAATTTGGGAAGAGGAAATACGATTTATCAAGCCTCATGGCTCGTTTTCGTAATCGCCGATTGTCAACAACTATGAAAACGAATCGTGAGACTCGAATAATCGTATCTCCTTTTCCCAAATTGTCCATTTTTGTTTACAAGTTGAGAGACAATTAGATGGAATTTACTGTAATTGTAAATACTTTTTTGTCAAATATGTATATCTAAACTACATTGAAAGCATAATTTATGATCAATTTATGCTATTAATAACATTACAAGTATTTTTTTCTCAAGATACATGATTCAATCTAGACACAGGTCAAACTTAAAAAGGCGAGTTTTCCAGGATTGACGCTCACTTTTTGATGAGATTTGGTGTAGTTATAGAGCTTGTAAAGTTGAGTCCAATGATACTCGGTTTTGAAGGCAGACGGCTTATAGTTTGAGATCATGAATGTTAAAGTTGCTAATAAAAAAAGGCCAAAAAGACGCGCTGGATTATGGCGTGAAGCATCGCGCAGCAAGAAGTGTGGATGCCTCGCGCCATAATCGAGCGCGTCTTTGTTTTTTTATTAACAACTTTAAGAATGATTATCTCAAAAATTATAAACCGTCTGCCCCCAAAAACCGGGTATCATTGGATTCAGATTTACAAGCTCTATCACTGTACCAAATCTCATCAAAAAGTGAGCGTCAACCCTGGGGACTTCACCTTTGTTAGTCTACTCGTCGCTATTTATAGGAGTGATTAGTGTCCTTACAAAATAATTGCATTTCTTCTAATGCATTTTTTATTTGCTTGTACTAAGCTTGTACTATACGTAGGTTTTACAAAAATGTGCATGGTGAAAATGCTGACGTGACTCGAAAGTGCCCTGGTGTTGGCATTGTTTCTATAAACTACTTATCGTGTTGCATATTTCTAGCATATTTTACAGTGCAATATATTGATTAGAATGTACAATGCGAGATGAACATACACAATTGAAGAGAGAGATTTAGACGTACACAAAATGAAACTTCACAAATAGATGAACAATAAAAAAAAACAACATAATTTCGTGTTACCAAAATATATTTCTTTTTCCAAACCTTGTCAATTTCGATTTCCGAACATTTATTCCTTTTTTAAATTACAATAAAATACAAGCGACGCGTGTTAATTATTTCGCTTAACTGTAATAAATAAATCGCAGTGTTAAATTCCATAGCATCATTCACATTCCTTTTTATTTAGGATATATTTATTCTGTCTAGAACGTTCGTTCGCGTGTTTACTTAAATACAAATAAACTGCGAATCTAATGCAAAATAAAAATTGTCCGATTTGAGAAACAGAAATTAAATAAAAATCAACTCTTTTTTCGATAATCTCAGTGAGTCAAACAAAAGAATAAAAATATAAAATAAATACATAAAACCCGCAGTCTGTAATAAATAGATCGCAGTGTGATATAATTTTGATATTCAGCCTCCTAAATCATTTTTAACAATCGTCCAGCTTGACGTCACGAACTCGTCATTTTCTTACCACCTTGACAGCCGGTAGATCCTTCTCCGATGACGTATCTGTCTTTCCAGTCAACTCAGGAGGCTGTCAAAAAAAGTTTAACCTTGAATATCACGCCGCATGCTTCCGGTTACATTCATTTCTTACGGTATATTCGATCGAGGCGACCCATGCGGAAGACCAAGGCGAAGCGGAGATTCTAATTTGTTTACTGCCATACTGGATTTTTTGCTATTGTTTGCGAAATAAGGCTGTTTTTGAAGTCATGCGGCAACTTCACAACTAGCACGCTTTACATGACCAATCGCAAAACATGCATTCAAGTGGGACATGCAAACTGTTTTGATTCACATGCGAGAGATATTTTTGTTTAAACTTATCAACGTAAAATGGCTACTACAAATATCCATCGGACACCGGAGTTATCATCACGTAACCATAGTTATAATGGGAAAAATTACTTATCCTCCGTCTGAAGTGTTTCAATATGCGAAACTAATTACGCCAATTTTTAATGGTATATGGAACATGAACGCAGATAAACTACTAAGAGTTACTTTCTAATTATACATGCTTTAAAGATTAAACGAATTATGATTTTACAGTGACACAATTTGTTTACAAAATGATTATCATACATTATCTATATCAAGAATATATATTTATTGAAGTAAACGCACGTGAGTTTGTTAAAAACTTTTTGTTGCTTGTGCTGCTACAAATTCTTTCAACTTAAACCCAACATAATCTTCTCAAGTAATTTGTATTCTAAGTTGTTTAATTTATTCTAAGTCCAATTTCATACAACTGCAGTTACCTAATTTCTCAATTCAAACGAAAGATTTGAAAACGTTATTCAGTGTACAATTATAATAATTCTACCTGAAAGAAGCAAAGCTAAATTGTTGTCACTGCATACCGGCACTATCGAAACTGTTTTTTCCGTGGGAAATGTTTTCACTATTTTTCAATTGTTCTGTTTCAGATAATCAAGCTATGTGGTGCACCCTGTATAAAGTGGTTATCAACATGCAGGTGGTTAGGTGTTCACACGCAGAATTCTATTAAGTGTCGACCTGTTGCTGTGATGTAACCTTCTTTCGCGAGATAATTTGAATATTCGTTCGACCACGGTTCGGGTAACTGTTCGCGGGGCCAGTAGATCCTACGTTCGTCGTCGCTTCTGTCTTTACGGATAGGGAACCCGGCGATGCACCTGCGTAGAGACCACCCCTAAGTGGTGGTTCTGCTCCATTTCCGCCCACCGAGCCACCCAATCCGGCTGCAGCCATCGGTCCTCCATCGCTGAATCTCGCTCTTGCGTACAAACCACCCCCTAGACAATTTGTTTCGTATTAAAATCGTTGCCATTCAATCCTTAGCGTTCTGGAATTCGCTAAAGATTCTGCTCCCACTTCTTCAGTTGAATTCCGTCCTCAACTAACTTCATTACACTGTATTTAAATAATTAAAAGTAAATAGCTTGCATTGAATTGCAATATGGCTGCAGTCTTGCAAGACCCGGTTTGAATAGAAAGCTGTAAAAATTATATAAACTTCCAAAATCATTTACTGTTTAGTATTGTATTATATATTCTCGTAGAAAGCATTTGTACATTTCAGTGTGTTAGAATTTTAGTGGGAGATTTTTTTTTAGTGGGGAATTTTAATGGAAGTGAATCAAAAATGTTTCGTCTTTGGTTATAGTATTTATTTCTGTCTATGAGCGTGCGCGGGCGTGGCTAGCGTAGTGTGGAGATGTATAGAGTTTTTGGAACTGACCGGACCGACTGGGGGTGACTGACTCGACTTGGGTGACTGAACTAACTGCCTTTGCGGAGTTGCCTTTTTTGTCTTGTTTATAGTGTTTGCGAGGACAGTCATAAAAGATGAAATTCTCTTGGAAGGGGAAGAAAGGAAAGATCTGTGCGAGTCGAGGTGTGCGAAGGTTCGGATAATTGTTTTATTGGGAGTGTTTTTAAGGAAGTTTTTGAGGATGTTCTGATGCACATTTGGTGTTTATTAGGGCTGTCGTAAAGGAAAAGTTTATGAGAGAGGATTAGGAAGGCAAATGTTTGATTGCTAGCGGCCGCGCTCAGGTAGCGCGGGAGCAGTGGCGAGCGATGCGACGCCACAGAATCATAGTTGCGTAAGTGACATTTTCCTCATTATGAGAAACAAGGAGTGTGTATTGTTTATTATTGTTGTTTACTGACCAAATTTATAGTTAAAAAAATTTATAGTAACTTTATAATTTATTTCACTTGTCTCTTTAACATTTTGGCATATACAGATTATATTAGGTCTACCGGAAAGTTCTGTCTGATAATGTCATTGCAAATTTCGATAGGTATGCACATGTTCATTTGAGACATATATTTTTGAAAAATATTGCTCACAAATTGCCATCACGCTAGCAAGAGGTCATAAGTAACGACGGAAATTATATTGTACAATAAATATTACTAAATTTATGAAAAATCTATTTCTTAAACGGACAGAACTCTTTTCGGTAGACCTAATATATTACTGACTTCCCACTGACATTCCATTGACGTCCCACTGACGTCTGCATTGTGTAAATATAAAAAATAAGAAAATTGGAACTGTCAGTACTAAAAATAGTGAAAATTCTTTCTTGATTCTTGTAATGTGTAAAATAGACGTGGAAAATTGTGAAAAATATACGAATGCTTTCTTTGTTCTTCTATGCAAGTTTGTCGCGAGAGAAAATATGCTAAGTTGTCTTCATCCTTGTCCTAACTGTCTATGTAATTGTTTTGGTTACTGAATGCAAGGTTAGGAAATAGTACTAACTGGCAGTTGGATTATTGCCATCCAAGGATCCGCCCAATCCAGCAGCCGCATTAGCACCCCATGGTGTTCCTGCGCTGGCATGAAGTCCACCCCCTGTTTGCGATCCACTCAGGAGTCCACCTAATCCTGCTTGGGCGTGGAAACCGGCGAAATTCACCCTGATCCCGCCATCGGTGAATTGAATCAATGGTGGCTGAGGTAGCAGTCGAAATTCAATGAATCAGTGAGAGTGAATTAAATGATCTACCAATTTGGTGCATTTTGATTTAGTTCGCAAACATTGCATTACATCTGGAAGTGTTCATGAGAAAAATAGCTCGTCTAAGTAATAGGCTGAACAGGAATTTTTTAAAATTGCATAATTTTTGAAAATTTTAAGAGTGAAGACAGTTCATCTAAACGAGGATTTAAACAAAAGATTTTGACAAGATTAGGACTAAAAAAGAGCTACACAAAAACGAGTTAGTGGGGAGTCGCACATAAAGTTTTATGCCGCCGATATATTTTTATATTGCAGCAGTATTTTTATGTTGAAGATAAAACTAGAAAACAATTACAGTAAATTCTCCCCAATTATCCTTCAGCTTGTAAAAAAAATGAACAATTTGGTAAGAGGAGATACGATTATTCGAGCCACGCGGCTCATTTTTATAGTTGCCGATTGTCAACAATTCTAAAAACGAGGTGCAAGGCTCGAATAATCGTATCTTCTCTTCCCAAATTGTCCATATCTTTTACAAACTGAAGAAAAATTTGGGAGAATTTACTGTATTGGACAAAAGTCCCATTTACATGACTTGTTTTATAAAAATCGAAACGAAACAAAGTAATAGTGATCTTAATCTTATAGTCACAGCTTCCTGCAATAAAATCACAAAGACCTGTCTTTCAAAAGCAAATATAAATCACCGTAAAATCACTAAACAAGAATAGTAACTTCGCAGATTTGTGATTTTTCAAGAGAAACATAAAAAAAAATATTAAGTTCAAGAACAAAGCAATGATTGACACAAACACTCGGTTGTTAGTACAGGAGAAAAGCAAGCGAAGACGCAAAATGGCGGCACCCTCGGCGAAAGATTGAAAGAACCGTTTGATAATTCTGCTAAACAATTAAACACGTAATTTATATTTGTCTTATTTTAAAGAACGATCACTATGGCGATGAATACAGTGCGTAAAGTTAATTGTTGGCTAGGTGATAAACATAACGATCAGAATCGACGAGCCAGACGCTTCCGCAATCCTTTCTCCAGCCGCGTTTCCAGATTATCTAACGCTGCTCGTTCTAACTTTTCCTTTCGGCTGTTTCCTCGCGAACCAGTTTATGTGTTCGCTCTGTTTGTCGCTGTATTGATACGGCCGTGAGAATATTCAACAGTTGTATAATTAATATCTATGATGCGAAACGATTAGGCATTCGACGCTGCTCGAGAAAACTCGCGTTTCATCTAGACTAGAATGATGATCACGACTCATGACTTTTCGAAATTCAGATCACGATATTTCGAGTTTCTGAATCTAGATTTTCAAATATTTATAATTTTCTGATCTGTTATTATTAAGAAGATCTTACTATTCTAATTTCGACGATTAATGAGAAGATTTGTGCTTGCACGTTGCAAATATTTGCAATTTAGACAATTTAGACAGATTCTCTATTTTTTATTTTAAGTTGATGGTCTTTTCATCAGGCTCCGTGAACAATCATATTGTATATTTATTTATTGTGTGGCACGTCCGAAGAAACATTCTAAATACAGCAATTTCGCGAATCGATTATTCTCTTCCGCGTCATTGTAGCCCGAAGCGGCGCGCGAAATTTGCAAACTGCTGCTTCATGATTCGACACAAATGAAGAACGATGAACCTTTGCACTGTAAATTATGTCCTTTTCATTTTTGTCACTTGTCTCTTAAAGATATTTCTACCAAAGAGTGACGATTTATTTAGACAACCTTCAATATGTTTAGACAGCCTTCATTTCTTTTATTTACTTTGGCAATGTCTAAATGATATGTACATATATACCATTTACCCGATCTACAGATTGGGCACTGAAATTGTATACAATACCTATTTAATTTCAAAAAGTCTCTCATTATTAACCTCACTACTCTCCCCGATTACTTTCGACATCTTTGGTTCATAATTGACACTTTGCCTACCGGAAATCTATTAATATTCTCCTCGATGACTGTGCAACGCGAAGAAAAATCTGACCAATTTTCCTTTTAATAATAATTTCAAAAGAACATGTTCGCAGATCGATTTAATTCTAGATGTTTCCTCGACTAACGATTGAAATATAGAAATTGATTAAGAAATTTCGCTGTCAATTTTAGACATTGGAAGAAGCCATTAAGCAACTGTTAGCAAATATATCGCCAATGGCATTAACATTGTCTATGATAGACAAGAAAAATATCAATTCCATAAGAAAATCCAAAGAGTAGGATCACAAGATTCAAAGATTTAAGCTCTCAGCAGTATTAGCAAAAAGAAAAAGAATAAAATTCACTTAATTGACTACTAAATTAAAACAGTTCTAGGTCACAAGTTGGGAGTTGAATCATGTACTGTACTCACCGAAGTGGAGGGCTGTTGGTCGCCGACACCGTTGTTTTGCGGCATCCCGCTGGCGAGAGCTGCCAAACAAAGGCCAAAAACCGTGACTACCTTCCCGCGCAGCATCTTTCTGTCAACTGAGCAGCGCTACCGACTACGGACCGAAGCTATCTCTGGCGTTTTAGTAAAAAGGCCTCGAAGGCATCTTGTACTCACCGATCGGGAAGGGAGAAGGTCTGACTAACCAGGGGGGCTAACACACGGCAGAGTAACACTATACAGCTTACGTTTGCTCAACGCTCGCTAACTATCGATGCCCGTACACTGAGCGCGAAATTATCTATTTGCCGGATTATACTGTAATCGCCTGCAGAAGAACGTTGTACTGTGATTACGGAGTTCAAGGACAAGCTGTGCCGTACGCTGACAAATTATACCGTGAAACATCCGTTTCCCTTATCAGCTTTCCAGGCAAACTGTCCTGCCGGATGCAACAGCTGTAGGTCGAGTGCGGTTGCATCGATTGGATGAACTCTGTTATAGATGCACGAGGCTTCTCAATGAACCGCACGTGGTCGTGAAAAAATTTATACTGCCAACAACCGCAGACAGTTCTACACAAAAGTTTAGGCCTAAACAGTTTTAATCACGGTAAGAGACACATTCGAAGTCTTATGCACCAGTTTCTTTTGCGCATATTGTCACCGAAAGTTAATTAAGCTTTAAATGTTTTATTTGAGAGAAATTGTCGGCGTTTGAAAAGGAAATGCTTTAACGATGAATCCTGGACACATTTGTCAACGTAGTCGTGTAAGAATCAAATTGACCGTCAACTGTAAATAACAAAAGTTTGGATGTAAAAGAATTTTAATTCTTACAAAGCACCGTTCCATTATTTATGCACTAGTTAGTTTCTACCGTGCACATTGTCACCGAAAATCAATTGAACTATGAATGTTCGATTTTCAAAAAATTATCAATGTTTTTACTGTTTTCACTGTTGCAATTTGTTAAAAAATGATCGAGCTTAGACTCATTTTCAAGTCTGAAGTCTTTACTTTCACAGATCATCGTTCATTTTCAGCTGAGATTTACCTGCACGGTATAGCAGGTGCGAATAAGGAGACACGTTTTCCTTGAAGATGCTACGAATTAAAGTTTCTAGAAACAGGAGGAAATTTTTTTCCTGATCGAATCTAGAATAGATTTGGAGATTGAAGCTTCCTCTTTGTAGTGATCACTTAAAACTTGATATATGGTTTTTCTTTTGGTCGCAGATTTTTGCGATCGACTGTACACACGTCAAGTAATACATAATCATCTTGACAAGAAGTGTTTATCTTCGTATCATTTTTCCATTCTCTCTGTATGAATTTTCCATATCGAACTTGTGTTGCTCCCTGAATTCAGTGCATATGCACATTTTTCAGAATTTGTTGCAGATACGAATTTATAGAATTTAATGCATAGCATAGTATTTAGTGTGTCTGAAGAAATTCTGAACGAAATTATTCTATAACAATTTATATTTTCCTGGACACCCATAAGCTAATAACAAAATTTCAATTAGTGCAGTTCTTCGAGTGAATGTACTTTATTTTAAACGATTTACAACGACAATCAAATTTGTGGTGACCGTGAACAATGCAAAATATATGTAATACAAATTCCAGTCACACTGAAGCTTATTGAGAAGTTAGTGGTTTGGGTTGTTTCAGGAAAGGCAAGCAGTCAAATGGTATGTAAGAAAATTCAGGAGGTTCGTTACAAACGCGATTTTATTGCGGAAGAAACGCGAATTCCGCAGAAACTGTTCGCTCCTTGTTCTCATTCAGATGCTGGTCACATCGTACCCATAAAAATTCCGACGTGAATAAAATTTTGTTCTCGATAAAACAGACGCTCGAGAGAGAATTCTTTGACCTGGCGAAATGAATCACTTGATTGCTTTTGATTCTTTGAAACGTGTTATTCAACACGGGGATCGGCAACATGATGACGCGATGTCCACTTTTTACCAGCAGTCATATAATTATAATTACTAACTTACAGAGAACTATAAAAGAAACAGGATAAAAACTTCAACGAAACGTCACTCTTCTTCTTCTTCTTCTTATATTAATCACGTTCTAGACAGCAAACAGATTTCAAACAATGTTTAAGCAACCTTTTATTTTATTCAGAATTTCGTAAAATGCAAATTATCTATTTCGCAAAACATAGTTCGAATGAAAATCCATCATAATACGAGATCTGCTCACCATTATTTTATCTAAAATATTTAATAGTACCTCATCAATCGGAGAAAAATGCTCACGTTATTTCTTAGTAAATTCTACAATCAAATAACTCACCTCTTTCGAGATTATCATTCAATCAACTAACTGTTGTAGTCTTCTTGAAAAATTTGTAAGTTACTGTAATTATATTGTATATGTTTGATTTTCTTCACATTTTGTTTAAATACAACACTTTTATAAAATATATAAATTTAATAAAGAATATCAAAGTATATATTCTTCTTAACTAATTAGCTATTTCTCACGAGTATATACGTCACGAAAAAATTGTGTCATGACGGGCATACTTGTTAAAAACAGTTAACTATTGGGTTGGCAACTAAGTAATTTCCGATTCGTTCAACGAAATAAAAAATTCTTTTTTACTTGGAATGAAGTTTAATCTGTAATGTATTTTCCATTTTGTTCGATGACCTTTTGCCATCTCTCTGACAACTTGAAAATTCCACGCTCGTAGAAAATCTGATCCTTTTCGGCCAAAAACTGAGTTAAGTGAGATTTTACAGCGTCATCGTCATTAAAAGTTTTACCACGAAGGGAGTTGTCCAGGGATCGAAATAAGTGGTAATCCGATGGCGCGAGATCGGGGCTATATGGTGGGTGTAACATCAATTCCCAAGCAATATCCATCAATTTTTGCCGAGTGGACAAAGACGTGTGCGGCCTAGCATTGTCCTGCTGGAAAATGACACCTTTACGATTGATCAGTTCTGGTCGCTTTTCCTTGACCGCTGCATTCAATTTGTCCACTTGCTAACATTCACGGATAATAAAAAAATAA